CTCTCTCTCTCTCTCTCTCTCTCTCTCTCTCTCTCTCTCTCTCTATACATGTTAGTTCCAACAATAATTTTATACTTTAACAATACACACCCGCGCGCCCGCCCACACACACACACACACACATAGATATATATGAGTTCCTGTTTTTGGTGCGTAATTCCCGTCTCGGAGTCTCCCCTTACCCTGTTATGAATTGTTCTAAAACCATTCTAAATTTCCTTTTTCGTTCATTTGAAGCCAGAATTTGAGCTACATTGTAGATTTCTTCCACTTCCACGGCCTGAATTTCTTTTACTTTCTTCATCTTTCTCTCTTTTAACTCTACTCCAGCTAAACCACAGAGAAACAGAGCTTAAGCAGCTTTAATGGCGGTTTCTCAACCCCATTAGTCATTACATAAACCTTGAATTTTAATCTTTGCTTTTTTTTTTTCTGGTTTGTTTTCTCAGGGACGAAGGAGAAATTGGGAAGCTTCAGAGCTCAAGCAACTCAACAATGGCGGCCAGGTACTGTAATCTCTCTGTGCCTTTGTACTGTACGACCTAACAAGAAACTCCCAACGTTAATTCTTTTTCTACGCGAAACAATCTTGACCGTCCAATCTTGTCCCTCGTGCTCCTCTTACCGTCGGATTACTTTTCGGTTCTGTTCTTTTCTTCTCGTCTCGGTTTACGAGCTAACCGTAAAAGGAATCCCAACCGTTGAGATCTGGATCGTTCGATCTCCACCGTTTATTCCGTTACGTTAGTTCCTTCGGATTCCTCCAATCCCCATTAACTACTAAACCCATCGACCTCGTAGCTAGACAAGAGAAAATCCCTGTAATTCCCAGAATTACCCCTCACGAATTGTGGAAAACAAAACAATCCCGTTGGGCAATTTGGTAGTTTGATTAAAAAGATAAAAATCCGATTTTCTCTCTCTAGAAACGGCCTTTTTTATTTAACGGTTTTACTGACAGTGACTGCTTTTGGTGCCCCTCCCTCGAGCACTGTGCACACACTCGTACTCTCTCTTTCCCTCTCTACAATGTACATGGCGTATAGAGTACTCGCTGTCCACGAGTGACACGTCAGTCTCCAATTCGTTTTATCTTTGTAATACCTTTGAGCCCAACAATGGTTTTTCAGTAATGGGATTTCCTAGAAAATCATTTATGAAAAAAGTAAAAAAGAAAAAAGAAATAGGTAATTTATGGTATTAATGATTTTTTGTCGGTGGTTTTTTTTTTTTTTTTTTTCGCGCAGAAATGGAAACATTGATGAGGGTCTCAATGAGCACGCAGTGGAGGATCCTGAGGAAGTTGCTTCAATGGTTGAGATGTGGGTCCCTTTATTTCTTCCACATTTTTCTCTCTAATTACATTTGTGTGTATACATGTATGTGAGTGTGTCTATATACATATATATATATTTATTTTAGTTTAGTTAAATTTCATTTCTGAACTAATTCTCTAATAGATGTTTTTGGTTGGTGGGGTAGTTCTAGTCCACATTGAGCTCATAATAATCTTAGAATTTTATTAAAATAAATAAAAATCTATAACCTCCCAACTGACCCAATTGAAATAAACGTAAACCCATTTTTTTTTTTTCTAGATTTGTGACGTGTATTTTGATGATTTGCCTTGTACATTTTAGGTTCTCACTTTCTTTTTGTCTTACAAAATGGTCCTATCCCATATCTATATTTGCCAGTACTAGTATAGATCCGTGTTTAGCGGATATAAATTCTTAAACTGTCACATTTCCCAACCATTTTTTTCCATGCCGTAGTACTTAATTTTGGTATGGAAGTTATGCCCAGACAAACAAATGTGTGATATTGTGAATATAACACCTAACTGTTTTTCACCGCTCTCAGTGGTGTGAATGATTTTTGTGTGAAAAGAAAGTGTTTTCAATCAAAAGATGTTTTGGACTTTTTACATGTGGTGGTAACATGCAAGAAACAGGAAAAGGGGGGGAAAAAAAAAAAAGAAAGAAAATTCCTTGACTCGTATATTTTCTAGTGCTATTATTATTCTTTTTGAAAGAATTTAGGGAGAGATTGTGATATGTACGTGAGACGTTTTTTTTTTATTTTTATTTTGGTAGAATCTTGAATAGGGTCTTTTTACGTTGCAATGGTGTACTATATTTTTCACTTTAAGTTTTTTTTTACTTTAATTTTTTTTTTGCTGAATTATATTTTTCACTTAATTAGTCAAACGCTTGTTAAGTGGGGTTAAACAAAATACGAGTACAATGAATGTCCAAATCAGAATTAACGGAATTCTATCCGTTACTTTGCAATGGACCCAAAATGTCTTCACACACATGGACAAAAGTCAATGTTTTTTATTTGGTGGGAAAATTCCACCTAAAGCACTGTTTGGCATTAGCCGTTGGAATGGAATGAAAATAGGAAAGAGCATAACACCACCGACACAAAGATAGGAAATTTACATTGCTTGGTAGTACTCATTCTTGACGTATTGTAATGCAATAAAAGTTAAGGTAAAACACAACACAATTGCGGTTAAATAAGAAGGAAAGGAAAGTCCTTGTTAAAATAATGGTGACAAAGGAACACATGCACTTAATTTGTTTGTTGAAATATGAATTCTTAATTAAGATTGAAGAAGTAGTTCTCTTTGTTGTGACAGGGAAATTACGAACAGCACTGAAAGGAGAAAGCTGGGATTCTTCTCATGTGCAACCGGTAACCCAATTGATGATTGCTGGCGCTGTGACCCCAACTGGCACAAGAACCGCAAGCGCCTTGCGGACTGCGGCATTGGGTTCGGCAGAAACGCCATTGGTGGTCGTGATGGCCGCTTTTACGTGGTGACCGACCCCCGGGACGACGATCCCGTCAACCCGAAGCCCGGTACTCTCCGCCACGCCGTCATCCAGGAGGAGCCTTTGTGGATTGTGTTCAAGCGTGACATGGTCATCCAATTGAAGCAAGAACTCATCATGAACAGCTTTAAGACTATTGATGGGCGTGGAGTCAATGTCCACATTGCCAATGGAGCTTGTATTACCATTCAGTTCATTACTAATGTCATCATTCATGGCCTCCACATCCATGACTGTAAGCCTACCGGCAACGCCATGGTTCGGAGCTCGCCGTCGCATTTCGGGTGGAGAACAATGTCGGATGGTGATGCCATCTCCATCTTTGGATCAAGCCACATTTGGGTTGATCACAACTCACTTTCTAACTGTGCTGATGGCCTTGTTGATGCTGTCATGGGCTCAACCGCAATTACCATTTCCAACAACCACTTCACCCACCACAATGAGGTGCCTTTACTACAACAAAATAGCCATTTTATATCGTACACTACTATTGCTGCTATAAAGTAGACAATTTTTTTTTGGGGTGTAAAACAGGTGATGCTGCTGGGCCACAGTGACTCATACACAAGAGACAAGCTTATGCAAGTCACCATTGCTTACAACCATTTTGGAGAGGGACTCATTCAGAGAATGCCAAGGTACTAATTCCATGCCATTGAAAGCAGTGTTATAATTAGCTGACATAGTTAGTTATTGGGAATTAAGCTCTTACAATATTCATGAAAATAATTATACAGGTGTAGGCATGGATATTTCCATGTGGTGAACAACGACTACACTCATTGGGAGATGTATGCCATTGGTGGAAGTGCGAACCCCACCATCAACAGCCAGGGCAACAGATATGCTGCTCCCAACAACCGCTTTGCTAAGGAGGTACTACTGATACTAATCACTAATCACATATATTAATTAGTTTTTTATGCTTCTTAGTAACATTAATAAGGTTTATATATTTCTTCCAAAAAAAAAGTTTATATAATAATAATAAATATACTACGTTATTATGCAGGTGACAAAGAGAGTTGACACATCGACAGGAGTGTGGAAGAACTGGAACTGGAGGTCAGAGGGAGATCTGCTTGTGAATGGGGCCTACTTCACTCCATCGGGTGCTGGGGCTTCAGCAAGCTACGCAAGGGCCTCGAGCTTAGGAGCCAAGTCCTCTTCTATGGTTGGAGCCATCACTGCCACTTCTGGTGCACTTGGCTGCCGCAGAGGCCACCAGTGCTAGTAGCGTCTCTGTCTGAGATATTATTCTCATTTGAGTCCAATTAAAATGGCCAAAGAAAAAAAGGGTCAATATTTTCCTTTTCATTTCAATTTTTTTTTTTTTTTTTTTTTAAATTTTAGTTTTACTGTCATATAGCATTTTACTACCCCCATTACCCATATCCCAATTCCCACCTTTTTTTTTTCTCTCCCATCTTTGTGTTTTCACATGTTTTGACAAGTGTACATTATTGTAACACATGTCATTATTATATCATCTATCGATTTCCTTGAATTTCACCCCAGTTTGTCTATCTGTTACCTCCCCAACCTCGGCCTGCTTCAACTGAAAAACACAATCCCATTTTAGGAGCAGGTGCGGAAGCGTTGCTCATTTGTTTTTCTGTCCTTTTTTCTTCTTCCATTTTTCTTATGTTGGCCTTTCTTAGTTTCCTTTCCAACACCTTCCAAACCCACCCTTTGTGTCTCTCCTCTCCTCCAGCCAATGCCAACTTGTCCTCTTTCTGGTTCATAGGATTTGAATGATTTTGTGTTTTTTTTTCTGTTTTTTTTTTTTAATTTTTTTTGGCCATGATTTGAATTTGTTTAGTCATACAAACAATAGAATGAATGTCAAATTTGAGTCATATGAGACTTTGTTACAGATGATGCATAGCAATAGCAAGTGATGCTTCTTTTTTTTCCCTTTTACTTTTTTAGACTTCATTTCTTGGGCAATGGAAGTAACCTTTTCACTTTTTTGGTTGTGCAATTCTGGCTAGCTTTTCTATGATTACGCTCGTTTGTCAATGTTTGTCCCTCTGCCGGCACTCGTTATTTCACTCATGTGCACCACATCACAAGGACATGAGTCATTAACCAATATCATTACCTTCTTTTCACCTTTATTAGCTATTACCTTACCAAACAATGCATTAGTGTGAGAACTGTTTAGCAAAAAGAGGAGAGCTGCTTGCTTTCGTTCGATTCGCGGATTTGAGTTTTGAATTTGAGCTGAGAAGTGAAATTTTTTAAGAATTTTTAAATGTAACAGAAAAAATTAGATGCAACATTTTTTAAAAAATTTTAACTGTAGAAATTTAAAACTGAAAATTCGAATCAGTAAGATAAACGGAACCTAAAAATTAGTTTAGAGATGGAATTTGTCTCTAGTTTAAACATCAACACAAAGCAACAACATTCCTCAATTATGACTTGGACTAATAAGGATTTTGCATACAAATATACCATAGCTTATTATAAATCATTTCATAATCTCATTATCTCATAATTAAATTAAGACCCCCCTTAATTAAAAGCCTGAAAACATTCAAGAAAAAGGAAAAAAAAAAAAAGGGAAATGACAATGATATAAGAGCAAGCAAAGAACAGAGTCAGATGCAAATGTAGTCCAAATGCCAAGCAGAACAGAATACAGAAAGCAATGTTTTAATAAAAGTCCTTGATATGCAGTGGAAATTGCCCCCACAAAAATTAAATGATGTTCACGCCTTCGCACCTAGTTGAGTTGGCACTGAAGATAATGGCTACCTAACAGAAACGGATAATCTGAACCACATCCATTGGCAACTGGCGAAAATACTACCTTATTTTACATGTAAAAAAAAAAACAAAAAAACCGGCCCTTTTCTCCATGTGGGAAAGGACCCCATTTAGCAAAGCCACGTGAGAAGTTTCTTCTATGAAGAGATCTAGCTCAGTGGGACCATTATTTTCTTTTTCATTCCGTTTGGGCCAACTTGCACATGTATGGACATGTTATACATATATCAGCCCCTTTTGGATGTGTCACTTCACTGCTGATTCCATTGCATTAAGCCTATATCTAAATGGTTGAGCCCTTGTCTGTTTGATTGTTCTTTCCTTCTCCAACGGTCTCCAATGGGCTCTATTATTGACTTTTAACCTTAATAGACACACACACACATCCTTGTTAGTTTGATTGTGTGATTCCCTTCAATTGAGACGAATCGTGACCAAATGAGTGGTGAATACTGATGTAAAAGTATGTTAAGGTAATAGTATGAGATTTCCGTTTGTGGAGTCCAATTCAAACTATTTTCTTTCTTCCTTGAGTTCCATTCGAGTTAACTGATCGATGGAATCGGTTTTTTGTCAATGCCATATTTATTATAACAGACGCTATGTGTATGAATTGGTGTATGTAATGCCTAATGTTTTAAAATATTTTACCCATTTAAAAAAAAGAGAGAAAGAGGAAAATAGGCCAAGACTTGAGATGAATTAAAATTAATAAGTCAATAGTTTACATAAGTTAATAAATAGACCAAATTATTGTTTTCATCTATAACTTGTCTGGCTATGAGCCATAACTTAACAAGTTATTGTCCATAACTTATCTGGTTATGAATCATAACTTGACAAGTTTGTCCATAACTTATCTGGTTATAAACCATAATTTGACAAGTTATGGCCTATTAATTTCTATAACTAAAAATTGGCTTATATACTTTCTTAAATTTTTCATATTGGCCTATTTCCTACTATTTTCATAAAAAAAAATGATAGAATTTTGATTACTTTTTCACTTTATACTTGAATTTAGAAAGCTAGCATTTACTCCTAGACTTCAAAATGTTAACAAATTTTCTCATTCTATCCATTTAAAGCTGACATAGAGCAAATTTAAAGGAATAAAATTTGATTTGAATTAAAAATTTTAATTATTGAAAAAATAATGATAACATCAATAATTTAAACACCTAATTTTGTTTTTTTTGTTCTAATTTAGTTTTTAACATTATTGTTTAATAGCTAGAGTTTTGAGCTTAAACTAGGTCTTAATCTGTACTATATATATATATATATTGTCTATTTAAGTGATGGAAGGGACAAATTTACTACGGATTTGAAATTTGAGAGAATGAATGCGAATTTTTCAAATTTGAGAAACAAAGTGAAAAAAAAGTTAAAATTTGGGGGATTTATAAAATTTGTCCCAAGATCATACTTGATACCATAACTACAAATGGATAAGTTTTTAGCTGCATAGCTTTAATAATAGGTAATTGAACTTGTTTCCTTTGTAGTTTTATCTACAAAGTCATATTTATGTCGGTGAGGAGGATAAGACATAACAATAGTGTCTTTATTTGTATTTTTTTTTTCTTTTTGATAAATTAGAAAAAAAAAAAAAAAGAATGAATACCCATTTACACTACTCGCAGATAGGACACAAAGCTTTATTATTCGCCGTGTAATAAACAGTACATGAAAATTGTTATGTGCCAGTTAATATGACAGATATCTTTGTCTCTAATTTTAAGCTGGAACAACAGTGTTTGTCTGTTTGAAATTACGTTCGAAGAATCACTATGGCAGTTAGGTAAAAAGGCTACTATCAAAAAAAAAAAAAAAAAGAAAAGAAAAAGAGAAGGCTAAGAAATGGATGTTAAATGTTAATTTTCATGCGGCAAAGGAAATTCCTACGAAATTTTTTCACAAATTGAATGCAATGACGGAGTCAGGCAATTTTTTCAATAGGACTACAATATAAAATGGAAACAAGATTCGTAGAGTATGTAAAGGCATTGTTAGGATTCTCTATTATTAAGTGGAAGTACAATTATATATTTTTACAGAGTGGAGCTATAATTAAAATTTTTCATAAAATTAAAAATTTTGAAATCTCGATAAGAGCAGGGACCCCAATCAGATAAACCTCCCTCAGGTAAAATCAGTATCTGGTAGATACATGCTCAAATTTTGCACACATGTTTTTATATATGTTCATTGTTTGGTAAAAAAAAAAAAAAAACTTCTTAAAGTTCATCTCATTTGTTATCTTATTATTCGTTTAGTTTACGCATTTAAATTAGTGATTTTATTTTCAAATTCAAATTTTATGAGAGAACCCATTAGTAAAAACTCTTTTATTTAAATTTGTTGTGAGAGAGCAGAGCCAGGGTTTAAATCAGTAAACCAAACGAGCATTAATAACTTCTCTAAGCAACCTAACTCTAGAGTGAAACAGTACCGTCTATGATTGGCTTTTATTCATCTCTTTGGTTTAATGCATGGAAAAGGGAACAGCCCAAACCATTGTAGGACTAGTTGTAGGGTACTTAATTATAACCATACTTCCAAGCTGTTCTCAAAGAAGAAAATAAGCTACAAGTTAGAACTCTTGTCTTAGGAGGTTTTGCCAAACTCTTCTACAATTCATTTCTTGCTCTTTTGTTTGGTGTTGTTTGAAGAATTTGGAAAGTGTGAGCTAACAAATATCAAGTTGTTATTTTCAACTTATGCATTTTACATTCTAAAAAATTGAGGTAACATACAACTCAAATCTCAACCAACCATTGAATGATAAAACGAAACGACCTCAGCTTGTTGAAAATACTAAAAAAAAAAAAAAAAAGCTGAAAATAATAGAGCAAATTGCATCAATGCATGTGAACTTTTCGTCATTTGCAAACGCTTAATGTTGACAATTAGGACAATAAACATGACAATCCTTGAAAATTAGTACAGTCGATGATAGAAGTCAATTAATGAACGAAGTTAAGGTTCTTTGGTGACATCATTAACCCCATTGAATTTGGTGCCTCATAACTCCAGTTGGATTGGATATTTGGTGACGTCATTTTCTCAACAAGTCATGGACTTTCATAGTCAACTTTAGCCAGCACAACTTATAACTTAAAAAAGAAAAAGAAAAAAAAAATCTTTTCCAGACAAAAGGATTAGGGAAAAAAAAGTTGCATAATCAGTTGAAGACAGCAACGTTATTATAGTTTGGTTTGGGACTTTGGGTCTTTCATGTCTCAACAATTGAATTTAACAACTGCTTTTTAGAGGCAAACGCGGCTATACACAACCCCATTGTGTTGAATTCATCTCATGAAAAATCCATGCCTGACAGCCCATTTTTCAACATTTTTTTTCCCCTCTGGCCATGAGTTGCATTCCATGCATTTTGCACTGACAATGCGTCCAGAATGGCCGGCACCAAAGAAGTCAACAAGCAGAAACCACCATCACACAATCTTCCATGTGGGGACAGTTCAATGATCACTGATGACCAACGTTACCTTTCATAAATTATATGTTCAAATTATTATAATGTCCCTGCAAACAATTTTATTCATCATCGCAAATCTTTGTAGAATAATGTTACGAGTTCATGTTGTTTCCTAAATTTTAGGGTATGCTTGTTGGAAGGAAGATTCCATTGTGAGTGCAGGGATGTCAATCGTGTTGCGTCGTGTTGGCTCGTAATCAACTTGACCTATGCGTGTTTTGTGTCATGTTGCATCTAGCCACCAAAGCTTTCTATCATGCTCATGCCAGCTCAAGATTGGAATCTGATAAGAGCTGAACCCAACGGTAAAACAAAATCAAGAAAGATCGGAAAATGAAGAAAAGAATCTACTAGAGAACTTTATTGATATCAACACATGTACACCAATCCACAGAACTTTGAGGGTCTGCTTCCTCCCCTTTCCTGAAATGTATCCAAGATTTGTACAATTCACTGATTATTTTCCGAACCCCTCTACTATCCCCCTTGCCCCCCTTTTATACACTTTTCCTCTAACAAACTTTCTCAGTAAGCTACTAACTAATACTAACACTTTCACAGCAAGCTATAGACAACCTTTCCAAACCAGACCCCCCTTCCTAAACCCGTTTATTCCTCCTAACATACACCTGCCTGAGTAAGGGCTTATCAATTACACCCCCCCTCAAAAAAGTCACCTTGTCCTCAAGGTGTAAGTCAAGAAATCGCAGCCGAGTGAAGGGTAATAAACCCGCCAACTCCAATTACAGCATTGGCAACTTTTCCTATTCCAACCCTAATTACACAAGTTTCTCCATTCCTAGCTACAGTTGCACATACATTTATGGATGTAGCTCTGATTTTTCTGAAATTGGCATCTGAAATCTTTGTCTGAGCACAAGAAGCATAGGAATATGGTGACCTTTTCCAACTCTCGTTGGGATTGGCCTTAGTCTCTTTGAACTTAGAGAAATTTAGAGGCTCATGGTTGAAAACACTACCACCCGGGTCGAAAATTGTACCAGAAAACCCAGACCCATCACTAATTAGGCCGAAATTTGAAGATTCAGTACATATCTTGCTCAAATTAGCCCCAATTTCCCCATTATCTTGAGGCCCGACCCTTATTGAGCCATAATTAGGCCCAATAATGTTGCACTTATGCAACCTAGACCCAAACATGCAAAAATTGACCTTGCCCACACTGTAACCACGAGAACCAACCTCAATCGCCGCATCCCGTGGCCGTCGTTCCATCACCGATCTCAGCCCAGTCCCCATCACCATCTCCCGAGGTAACCAGCCCCCTTCCGATCGCCTTCCGCCTCCGTTCAACCTCTCCCACCATGGGTCTTTGCAGTTTCGGTCAAACTCCCCAAAACCTAGAACCCCAACTCCCCCTAGAAGCAGATCTAAGGCCTCCGCCCCTAAAACACCTCCGATCTGTCCTCCCTGTTGCGTTTGTCCGATTCCGACCAAGATCAACCTCACCCAAACCAGTTCGTCGCCGATTAGCATCTCACGGTGCGGATCCCAGCCATTCTGATCCCCAACTCGCGAATCCAAACGCCCCTCATTGTCGTTCGCCACCTCCGGCACCTTCCCCAAGCCGAATTTGGCGCCAATCGGTCCTTCTTGTCATGGAACTGGGCCTCCCAAGCCCTAACCGGCGCCGATCTGCTTATACCGTCGCAAATTGGACAGATTCAGGTCGAGATCGTCCCCTCCGTTACGCCGTTCCTACTCGCGAACAGTCACCTCCCTTGGCGGTCGTCCGATCTGCCCTCCCTTGTGTGGTTCCTCACGATTCCGGTCAGCATCTCCAAGTCTGAAAACCTTAGGTTCAGCCACAACTCTTTCTTGCTCAATTCCCTCCGTTCCGGCCTTTGACCCGCGACCCACTTCCTTACCCGAACTAGTTCCCCCTTCTCGAACCCCGACGGCGCCTGAACCGGAATCCTCCGCCAGCAGCTTAGCTTTCGCTGTCAGCCTTAAACACTTCATTTACTCCTCCATCAGACAACGCAATTCGGCAAGATTCTGACGGACATCGGCAAAATTCTGATTCATCTCAGCCCTAAATTCACCGATTCTTTTCTCCACTGAAGCTTTGACTTGTTGAATCTCCTTCTCCACCGCCTCAAATCTCTCCTCCGTCTTCCTGGTCGCCATAATCACTCAGAAACGATGCTCTGATACCATAATGATAAGAGCTGAACCCAATGGTGAAACAAAATCAAGAAAGATCGAAAAATGAAGAAAAGAATCTACTAGAGAACTTTATTGATATCAACACATGTACACTGATCCGCAGAACTTTCAGGGTCTGCTTCCTCCTTTTCTGGAATGTATCTAAGATTTGTATAATTCACTGATTATTTTCCGAACCCCTTTGCGATCCCCCTTGCCCCCTTTTTATACACTTTTCCTCTAACAAATTTTCTCAGTAAGTTACTAACTAATACTAACACTTTCACAGTAAGCTATAGACAACTTTCCCAAATCAGACCGTTTATTCCTCCTAATATACACCTGTCTGAGTAAGGACTTATCAAAATCATAGGTCCAAACACATCTCTCCCAAATCAGACCGTTTATTCCTCTTAATATACACCTGCCTGAGTAAGGGCTTATCAAAATCATAGGTCCAACACATCTCGTGCTCATTCTTATTGTCACACCATTGTGTTAAAGCCGCGTGCTTAAAAGTTGAAGAGAAAACTATAAGTTGGTACCGCCCACCACCTCATGCCATGCCGTGTTTAGCCGAAAATCCTTTATGTCGTGCCATTGTGCTTGTTGAGCTGCCCAACTCAGTTGACATTTCTAGTACTCATAATAGGATCCCCTAGGACTACTAATCGCGAAAATGGAATTCGAATCATATAGTTTATATTATATGGGATTGTATACTATAAAATTGAGGTCAATGTTCCTGTATGCATCATCTATATATGGCCTTAGGGCCTACGTTTGGTGATCTTGAATGAACCAATTGCAAGAGTTTGTAATGTAATATAGGTACGTTAAAATCCAAGCGTTCTTGGACCAAAAGCGCATGATGCTCATCATCATTGGCAGTATCTAGCATCTTCATGCCCTAAGTTTCAGATAAAAAAGTAGAAAACCACACACACACACACACACACACAAATAACAACAAATAACAAAGCCGTTAAAAGAATGTTGATGAAAAATAAGGAATCCCCTAAATTTATTTTCTTGTAACTCATTATGAAATGTAAGCATTATCATTTGAGAAAAGAAGAAGAAGAAAAAAGGCTTGCCACTCTATTAAGGTCAGTTAAGCAGTGGCAAGTACATAATAAATGCATCTCTCAGATGGAGGTGTCTGTCTGAAATGTGTATTCAGCTTCAGCAAAATGAGACTTCACCAATGCAAGAGCCTTGTAACGGTGAGAAATTTTGTTCTTTTCTTCCTTTGGCATTTCAGCATAACTGCAACAAAGACAAAATGCAAGAGTCAAATGTGATTAAATGAATTTGGACCACCATAACAAAGAGCACATTTTGACAAGGGTGAATCTACGTTTGCTCGTATCCATCGGGTTGGAAAATTGGATCCCATCCGAAATCAGGAGGTCCCCTCGGCGGAACAATATTACCCTGATATGTCAGATGAGAATGTAAGTGTCATTGATGAGAGTGTCAGGCAATATTTTTCCTCATTCAAGCATATTCAGTTACCAAATCTGAGCCAATAAATATAAATCTTGAGATACACAGATTTGTATTTTACGTGATAAATGAGGCCAAAATTGTTGTGTATACGACAGAATGTGTCAGATGGTCACAAAGAAGTCTACAGAGTTCAAAGTACCTTAAACATTCTTTCTTCAAGAAGAATCAAAGGAATGTGTGTGTGTGTGTGTGTAGGAAAAAGAGAACTATAGAATCCTGTTTCTGTCCCAATGACTTTGAGGTCTAGAGGCACCAAGTTCTTTGTTTTTGAATTAATAATGGACATAATAGAAATTGAAGAATTTCTGAACTTCTATTATTAATCTTTCCGTAACCCTACAATAGCATATATATACACAAATGACTAATAAGGAAATAACTAACTAGCTTGATTCTCTCCTAAAAATCAGGAAACAAAATTATGAGAAAAGATCACAACCGATCTCTCCTTTTATTCCTAAAATACTTTCCTAAACTAACTTCCCTAACTTTTGACTTCCGAATTCAACACTCCCCCTCAAGCTGGAGAATATATATCATATAACCCTAGCTTGCAAATTAAGTCTTCAAAGTTAGGTCTTGGTAGAGCTTTGGTGAGGATGTCTGCCGTTTGTTACTTGGTAGGGATGTAGTTCAATTTAACTGTCTCACTAGTCACCTTCTCTGTGATGAAATGTCTGTCAATCTCAACGTGCTTAGTCCTGTCATGATGCACGGGATTCTTGGCTATGCTTATAGCTGCCTGATTATCACACATCATCAGAATAGGAAATGAACTCATTTGTCCCAGTTCACTTAGAACCCTTTTTATCCAAATCCCTTCACAAATTCCCTGTGCTAGTGCTCTGTACTCAGCTTCTACACTACTTCTGGCTACCACTGATTGCTTCTTGCTCCTCCAGATAACAAGATTGCCTCAGATAAAGGAACAATATCCAGACGTTGACTGTCTATCAATGAGGTTTCCTGCCCAATCTGCATCTGAATACACTTCAGTGTCACGATTTTCTGTCTTTCTGAAGAATAGGCCTTTCCCTGGGGTCATTTTTAAGTATCTAAGAACTCTGTAGACTGCTTCCATGTGTTCCTCTGTAGGGCTGTGCATGAATTGACTTACAGCATTTACTGCAAAACTAATATCTGGCCGAGTGTGTGACAGATAGATCAAGCGTCCAACAAGTCGCTGATATCGCCCCTGTCTACTGGTGCACTTTCTTTCTCGGTGCCAAGTTTCTTTTGACTGTCCATAGGAGTGTCAACTGGTTTGCATCCAAGCATACCGGTCTCCTTAAGAAGGTCCAAAATATATTTCCTTTGAGAAACTACAATCCCTTTCCTCGATCTAGCCACTTCCATTCCAAGGAAATATTTTAGATTTCCAAGGTCTTTAACTTCAAACTCTTCTGACAAATACTTCTTCAACTCCTGTAGTTCCTTCACATCATTCCCTGATAGAATAATATCATCGACATAGACTATCAATATGGCAATTTTCTCAGCATGAGATTTCTTGACAAATAGAGTATGATCAGACTGACCCTGTACATAGCCAAGCTTCAAGATTGCCTTTGTGAATCTGTCAAACCAGGCTCAGGGAGATTGTTTAAGGCCATACAAGGACTTCCGGAGTTTGCAAACCTGATTCTTTGTCATACTTCCTTCGAAGCCAGGTGGAATTTCTATGTAGACCTCTTCTTCTAGGTCACCATTTAGGAAGGCATTTTTTATGTCCAGTTCTTGCAAGCACCAATCTTGGTTGACTGCCAATGAAAGAAGAATTCTGATAGTGTTAAGTTTTGCAACAGGAGCAAAAGTCTCTTGATAGTCTATCCCATAGGATTGGGTAAATCCTCTAGCTACCAACCGAGCCTTGAATCTCTCGACTGATCCATCTGCCTTGTACTTTATAGTGAAAATCCGCTTGCACCCCCCGGGCCTTTTCCCACCTGGTAAATCCGTGATAGTCCTTGTCCCATTCTTCTCAAGTGCATCAATCTCATCTTGTACTGCCTTCTCCCATTCAGAATTTTGTAATGCCTCTTGTATTGTGTTGGGAATCTGAGTATCATCAAGAGAAGTAGCAAATGCTCTGTAAGATGGTGATAGCCCTTCATACGTGACATAATTCCCAATTGGATGATCTGTACATCTCCTAACACCCTTCCTCAATGCAATCGGTAGGGTAGAGTCATCAACGCTAGGAGTTGACACATTTCCCTCCCTATCCGTACCCATGTTTTCTTCAGGTGGACTTGAAATTGAGTCAATATATTGGCCACATGTTGGCTGTGATCCGTGCTCTAGCTCCTGTCTTTTCTTCCTCCTAATGTAGACTTGTAAATTCTCATTAGCAAGCTGTGGGGCTACAGATTGAACAGGCACGGGAGAAGACACATTTGTGGGCTGTACGGGAGATGGAGCATTTGTGTTTGTAGGCTGGACTGATAACGGCATAGGTGTGGATGAGTCAATGGGCACGGTTTGAGAAGGCCGTGGTGACTTTGAGTGAGACGAGGGTACTGACTCAAGAAGAGACTCTCAAACTTGATGTTCATTCATGCTCTCCCCCTGAACACGAGATTTGGGATAGAAGAACACGTGTTCAAAGAAAGAAACATCCATGGTGGTGTAAAATCTTTTGCTTAGTGGAGAATAACATTTGTACCCTTTTTGGGTTGGAGAGTACCCTAGGAAAATGCACTTATTGGCTCTAGGATCAAATTTGCTACGGTGTTGAGGATACACATGAACGAATGCTGTGCAACCAAATACTTTGGGTGGTAAATCAGATGAAACTGCACGGGTGTGAGGAAAATTTTCCAGAAGAAGCTGACGTGGAGATTGAAAGGTAAGGACTCTGGATGGCATGCGGTTAATCAAATAGGTAGCTGTGAGAATGGCTTCCCCCCATGAATAGTTAGGAACATTAGACGAAAACATAAGACACCGGGCAACCTCCAAGAGATGTCTATTCTTGCGTTCAGCCACCCCGTTTTGTTGTGGGGTGTCAACACAAGAACTTAAGTGGATAATCTCGTGGTTCTGAAGGTAGGTATTGAGACTACTAGTAAAGTATTCCCTAGCATTGTCTAATTTGAGTACCTGAATTCTAAAATTGAATTGATTTTGAACCATAAGATTGAAGGATTGAAAAATTTGTCCAACTTTTGACTTTTCTTTCATAAGATAAACCCAAGTTACCCGTGTATGATCATCAACAAAGGTCACAAACCATCGAGTTCCAGAAACATTTTTTATCCGTGAGGGTCCCCACACATCACTATGGATCAAAGAAAAAACAGTTGAAGGTTTGTATGGGATTTGAGGATATACTGTTCGAGTATGCTTTGCAATCTGACAAATTTCACAATGAAAAGATGCTGGATTTTTATTGATAAATAATTTGGGAAACAGTTTTGCAAGATACACAAAGCTAGGATGACCAAGACGATAGTGTAACAATATAATTTCACTATCTTTATTGACATTGGAATTTGACACAGAATTAAAAGACCCTAAAAGACTCTGAGACTGGACACAACTTGCTTGTGAGACTTGGTTTGAGGATCGGTCACATGAGAGGAGATAGAGCCCGGAGCACAGTTCAGCACTGCCAATCATCTTCCCTGATTTCAAGTCCTGAAAAATACACAAGTTTGGATAAAATTTAGTAACACATTGAAGGTCACAAGCCAATTTACTAATGGACAAAAGATTACAATCCAAGTTTGGAACATGGAGGACAGAGTCGAGATACAACTCTTTAGTAAGTTTGATGGAACCTGTCCCAGCGATTTTTGAATTTGAACCATCAGCTATATGGACGGACGAGTGACCACTACTTGGCTTGTAATTTTGGAGAAGGGCAGCATCTCCTGTCATGTGATCAGAAGCGCCTGTGTCTACTATCCATGGCCTCATTCCTCCATGGTTAGCAGTGAAGGCTGTATGCAGATAAGTTTGAGCAACCAAACCAGCCCCAGTAATGCTGCCACTGCCGACTTGACTAAACAGTTTCTACAGTACATCCATCTGTTCTTTGTTGAATGGGCTAGGCTCGGGAACAGGAGCACTATCGGAATTGGAGGCCACATGTGCTTTGCTGTCTCTATCAAACCGTGGCTTTGGTTTCCAATCTGCTGGTTTGCCGTGGAGCTTCCAGCAAGCCTCCTTGTAATGGCCTAGTTTCTTACAGTAATCACACCAAGGCCTTTCCCGTTTCTGACGATCTCCGCCATTACTGTTGAATGACCGAACAACAAGGGCAGAGGCATCTAACGGTGAGGCATGTTGTTCCTTAGATCCCATCATCACTTTCTTTCTACTTTCTTCACGCCTAACCTCGGAGAAGGCCTCCTTGAGACTGGGCAGTGGTTTAGTGCCCATGATTCGACCTCGAACACCATCCAACTCCCTGTTAAGTCCTAGGAAAAACTTGAACAGCCTTTTTTGTTCCACAACCTGCCTGTACGTTGCTGCGTCGTCCGGACATTTCCATGAGTGAGTCTCGAATAAGTCAAGTTGCTGCCAATACCATATGAGTGTGTTGTAATACTGAGTGACGGACTGCTCTCCTTAGCGGAAGTCATAAAGGGCTGATTCTACCTGAAATAGTTCTGAAGTATTTTCAGAACTGGAGTAAGTTTCTTTGGCTGCATCCCATATTTCTTTTGCAGTTCCAAACAGCAAGAAATTTTCACCTATGTCATTGTTCATGGAATTGATAAGCCATGACATGATCATACTATTTTCTATCTTCCACTTCTTGAAACCTGAATCTGTAGTCTCTGGCATGGCTGCTTCTCCTGTGAGATATTCATCTTTTCCCTTGCCATAGATGAACAGCAACACAGATTACGACCACTGTAAGTAATTATGGCCATTTAATTTGTGTCCTATGATGAGAATAGGAGAAGATTCGCTGCCACCAAGGTTTGGAATCTCTGATCTGCCTCCTGATTCTGGGGTCGTGACACTGGATGTTTGTGATGATGCCATTCCGTATTTTGTCATGTCTCAAATATTGCGGAAAAGATGAGAGGAAAGTCTGAATATGATTGCTGGAAATATATAAGAGAAGACCGGAGATAATTGGCCTGAGAACAACGAAGAAGTGGCCAGAAAACTTGGCGAGAGGTGGCTGGAATAAGAGATGGCCAGAGAGAGATGGCCGGAATGAGAGATGGCCAGAGAGAGATGGCCGGAATGAGTGATGGTCGAAGTGAGAGATGGCCGGAAGGGATTAGGGTTCAGAAAACTGGCTCTGATACCATGAAGAATTTCTGAACTTCTATTATTAATCTTTCCGTAACCCTACAATAGCATATATATACACAAATGACTAATAAGGAAATAACTAACTAGTTTGATTCTCTCCTAAAAATCAGGAAACAAAATTATGAGAAAAGATCACAACCGATCTCTCCTTTTATTCCTAAAATACTTTCCTAAACTAACTTTCCTAACTTTTGACTTCTGAATTCAACAGAAATCATGGGTATAAACAAGGCAAAGGCAAGGAGGATTTCAGAGAAGGGAAAAACTACAATAAATGTTTCCATTAGACCAAATGAGAGAGAAAAAAAAAGTCACTTGCAAAATTTAAATTCACGCAGATCACGTCTTTGTTGTGTTAGTAAACATGCATAGGCAATGGAATACAGAGTAACGGAGTACTACCAGTCTTAAAAAATTTAAAGAAACAGATAAACAGCCATCTAGACTTTCCAAAATGCAATTTTATTAGAAAGTCATATCACTTTGGATTTTCACTTTTCATAAATCTTTTTCCGGTGTCATAGATTTCAATACGTCTTTGTATTATTATTCATTCATTTGGATCATAGATGAGAGCGAAAAAACAAATGAGAGAAGAAAACAACTCCGAGATTTTTTCTCAGGCCCACCAGAACAACGTTTCTCTTCTGAATAGGTAAGTTATAAGAGGATAGAGCAAGTTGTCAAGTGCTAACAAAACTTATTGAAACAATATTATCTTGTTTTCATGCTTGCACATTATCTGAACCTAAACGAAAATGAAAATAACAACAAAGCAAGATCCTTTTCATTTTCTTTATATTATTTTATTTCTTTTATTTTTTTCTCCAGCATTAAATGTCTTCAGGTCAAAGCCAAATTCCTATTTCACTCAGATTTTGACATTAATCAAAGGAAGAATACAGTCAATGCAGACGAAGATGAGTATTGATACTATTTTACAGAAACATATTTGTCTATGAGGCATAAAATGCCCTCAAAACCAAAGTTTGTTGATATTAGTTGTTGAAAACCGTTGTAATTATTCTTATGGAACTACAGAAAGAAACAAGAAGAAATGACAGAAATTACATGAGTTCTCATTCCAAATAGCTACTTACCGGAGTTTCACCGAGAAATGTAACAGGTTCAGTGTTGGGGCCAAGGGCAAAGGAAAATGCACACAAAGCGTAAGCTGATTTATCCTCATATGCCATCAACAAATTATTTAGACCTGGAAAGAGATGCACTAGTATCAGGAATATTATTCTGTGCAACAAATAAGGAAAATAAGACGGAATGGAGGAATTCGGAAGAGAAAGAAAGGTAACAGCTATAACCTGCATGGCCAATCTTCTCCAAGAACCACTTGCTGCATGATATGAAAGAGACATTATTGAACGATGGTCATTGCAAAAACAAGAATTTAAAGACTACATCAGAGAAATACTGTAAAACCAAAAAGCTTTTTTATCTGTTAACATGCTGGATAGAACCTCCACGCTACAAGAAACAAAAACATCCAACATCGGCATTCTTTTTCTTGATTTACTTCCTTTTTTTTTTTTTCCAAGCAGATAAAGATCTGAATTCATATTACTTATGACTTTGGTCTCAAAACCATCCACATTGATATTTGGCTTTCTTTTTGAGGTTCAGACAGTTGATTCATGTCCAGACAGAAGTTGGATGTTAACATTAGAACAAAAAGTGGCAATTAAAAGGAAGGTCATGAAAGGGCTTCTACCGTCGGACGTCTTCCGATCATGTCTAAACAATGGGAACAAATGAGAACTGATAGGCTCTCAATTAGCAAGGGTAGTGTGTGCACATGAGTGTTTGAGTTGTAACCAAATGTACCAATAAACGGTGCCATAGAAAATACATAATCTGTCAGAACATTCTTCTCTACAAAAACGATAAGTTACAGTTAAAACATAAAAAGTGTTCGAGTCCAGACATTTCTATCTTCCTATAGTATCCAATTTCTTTGTCTGTGATTATAACGAATTGGATATGAATTAGCAGCATAACTCAGGACTACAGACAATAATGGCAAGATATCTCCAACTGGACATAAATTCCAACTAAATTACAATTAGAGGGCATTAACAAACAAGTGGCCATCAGGCAGCAGAGAAGCCCCCATTCAATGGGTGTGTGTCAATGCGATTCAAAAGGCGGATTTTCCCAGATCATTTGCAAAAGATCCACACCCTGGATTATGACAAAGCATTGGAAGAAATAGCAACTGGGATACAAGTTGTGCCATGTTTATACATCTTCATTCTCTCAGTTTTCAAAGCAATCCAGGATCATAAACGAATGAGGAACAGACAAGGGAAAAAGAAATCTTTCTTCTTGAAATTTCAGGAGAAAAAAGGAATTGCCAAACCAAGAAACAAAGGTTAAGCAGCAACCATAAACGGTACCACAATGAGAAGCATACTAATTCCTAATTCACGCAAGGAACAATCGGTACACATGAAACCTAGAAAGATCAGTTGTCGCAGAAGCACGTTCCATAAGTATACCCCTACTGCTGAGCATATCCATAAAATGAAACATAGTTTTAGAATTTTGAGGGATATTCTCCTCTTCAATTAGCCAATACAGACTTTTTCTTCAAAAAACCCTTTACCGTTATCCAATCTACGCTTAAAACCAACAAAATATTTGTTATTCTCCCTACATACCAGACTTAAAAAATTATTGATCTTTGATTTTGTTATTTTTTTCTTTTAAACACACTAACCGTCAAACTGCGGTTTAACTGGACTGGACTACTTGTTAACGGTTCGGTCCTGTCTGGTCCCATCTTACAAATGGTCTGGTCTGGTCTGAATTTTTTGAAACCGTTAGTAATGTTCCAGTCTGAAAACCTAATGGTTGAGACCGAACCAGACCGTAAATTGATTTAGGTTCCATGTGATAAAACAGTGACAAAGAAATGAAAGAATATAGCCGATAGATTAACAAAGATTGTGCTTATAACAGTCTCTATATTTAATCAATCACACAGATATTATTATCCTCATTTGATTTTCATCTGCTCCTATTTAATCATCTAACGTAAACATAAACTAACCAAAACCTTATAATCTAAGCAAAATATATACAAACAACAATAACAAAAGACCGGGTAGGATCAAATGAATGCATTATGAATCCGCCTCAAAGAAAGTAAGATCAAGAGTGAAGCCAAACTTACATGTACGGACCTGCATATATTTTGAATCAAATTAGACCAAAATCACAATATCCACCCCAAAAAAAAAAAAAGCAGAAAAGGGATATATTTATCTAAGAGTAACAGAGAGAAAGAGAAAGTGAAGATACCTGGAAGACCCTTGAGGGCATTGAAGCAGAGGCAAGTATCTTCAACCAGCACAGGCCCATTCACCTTTCCATTCAATAATTCAACCCAAAATTCAAAATGTTAACAAAATAACATATATACATATGTGTATATATTTATAATACACACAAATTCATATATTTTGAGATTATAAACAGAAATGGGACCTGAAAAGCAGCCAAACGAGCCTTCTCTTTGGAGATATCCTCAGGCTCGCCTTGCAATTCTGGCACTGCCAAAAAAAGGGGAAAAAAAAGACATTAAAGAAAAACAAGAACAAATTCAAAGTTATAATCTTTTAGATACAAAAATGGATGAAAACAAGAAGTGAGAATCTATAGGAGTCTGCAGTACATACGATCGAGCTTGAGGGACTGAAAAGGAATGGAATTTCCCAATATCGCACGGACTTCTTCCAGCTTCTTCGCGTTCCCCGTCACGAACGTCACCGGCCGTGACAATAGCAGCCCACTGCCACCCACCGCCGCCGCCATTTATCCCGCCTCCGGTGGTGTCTCCTTCGTTTGGGTTTTTTTATTTATTTTTATTTTTATTTTTTCTCTTCTTCTTCTTCTTTCGGACCTAGAATTTGGCTAAAATAACCAAGTAAGTGAAAAAATAAAATTAGAAAAATGACTTTTTAATTTTATTTCAATAAATTTTTAATAATATAATTAATAGGTATTTATCTAATAATTGAGTATTATTATTAACAAAAATCGAAATTAGAATTTAATTGAAAAAATCCAACAGAGGTGGCATTCTCCCTCCCTTCTTAATTCCCTCACGAACTCAAGCGCTCAAAAAAAAAAAAAAAAAAAAAAAAAAAACCTAAGAGGAACGAACGACCAAGAAGGCAAGAGAACGACCCAAAATCCTCATCCCCCTCTCTCCCCCTTCGGAACCTCCGAGATCTCCTCTTCCCCTATGCCGGAGTTCATGGCCGCCGAAGAAGAGAACACGACCATGCCGGAGGAAGGAGCTTTTCGCACGTACTCACCCCGCATTTGTCGTCGCCTTCGTCGGCCCCTTCGTTGCAGCCATCGCCGTCTTTCCCACAGCCGCCGCCTCCACCTTCGACTTCGCCGCCGCCACCGCCGCCATCACCTCAAGCCCAAGAACAAGTAAGGTTTTCTCTCATAATGATTTTTTGCGATTGAACATGAATACATTGAGGGCATATCTATGATGGCTTCTGCTCCAATAAATTCTATGCATTTTAAGATCATCTATAATGTTTTTGATTGCCACATTAAACCTTCTCAGATTTTTTTTAACTTGCTATTGAATTTATTAAGGCATATACTACATTACCAAGAAAATTAACATGCTAAAAACATATGATTTTGCTGGATATTGTGTCGTTTTTCTCTTTCTTTCATGATTACATGTGTGTGTGTGTATAAGGAATCCCAGGTGAAGCTCATTCAAGTTCAACTTTATTATTAAGAAACTTAGCCACAACTCATCATCACACTAGGCATACAAGTTCAACACTTCTGTTTAAGATTAAGATGAATTTATCATCACTTCAATCCATCGCATATAAGAACATTACAAGATGATAGTATAAAACACTATATTGACAAGCTATAGCAATTAAGCATGAAAACTGAAAGACCATTTCCTACAGCTTCTGTTGCTGGAGCTCCAACACCAAATCTACAATGCCAACAACAGAACTCGGTTAGATCTAAAACATTAAAATGATTTTTTCTCACTCCACCATCAGACAAGATCATGCTCCATTCCATAATTTAGTTCCGGGTATCTATGCCTGTAAAATTTTTTACTAATTTTGGAAGGCTGCATTCTAAGCTTTTGAATCTGGTGTTATGAGACGGTTGATTTAGGTAGAAGTTATGAGGAAAGTTTTGATAATAAAAGATTGAAAAGAAACTATGTGCTACTCATTTAGTCAATTCCAACTTCTTAAGATCACAGGTTAGTTGAAAACAATTTGGAGGAAAGTATTGTGTTGCGTAACTATCATGTTCATCAACTATTGGAATGTACGGTATTGGGTATATAAAATACCAAGTAAATTTTCACTTTTCTGAGCAACTTTTAACTTCTGATGGTTTTTTAGTTTGTTGGTTTTGTATAATACTTATATCTCTTACAGAAATGTAGTTTTTGATTACTCAAAAATACTTTCTTTGCAAGAGCTACTAATCAAGTTAATTAAACTATTAATGATTCAACACATGCAGTGCCATCTTACACACAGTATACATCACTCCTTTTAAGATTATATGGCTTATGATTCAGATTTATTAATGCAAACAGTTCCTTAGCATCTAGTCCATCAAGATTCAATTGTAACTTTATTATATTTTGGTGCTATCTTTTTCTCCCTCCTTTTGTAAGAACCAAGGGAATGGATTTTTAAATTGGAACATGGAATTTTAAACAAGTATCTAAACTCTAGTACTTGTTTAGTACTTGTTGTTCATAGCTGAGGAAAGCACAATTCATTTATAATATTTATACAACATTCTGGATATTATCTGAGCGACCCCGAACGACCAATCAATATCAGATGGTCGTTCAAGGTTGCTCCCTTCCTACTAGGCGCGTGATAACTCGATGAAATAGAGTTATTTAGCATATTTTTAGGCTTAATAGTTACTTATTTTCTCAAGGTAAAATGCCTTAATGTTAGTATTACGTATAACATTAGTTAGTTTTTGTTTAGTTGGTAAAAGGTTGATATTTGTGGAACAATCTCGTCATATCATGGATTTAGTCCTCATATTTAATGAAAGTGTGTTGACTCTGGGTGTATAGTGCAGGAAGTCCAAGGGCAGGTTGGTGAGAGCATTTTGAAAGAAAAGCACAGTAAAAGAAATGAAAGCAAGAATGCACCCGATGCTATAGCAACGCTGCAGCAAAGCAGATACAGCCAAAATGTGCAAGTTGGCGCAGCTTTTCTTTACAGCTGGTAGTGGCCCAAATGCTGACGTTGCCAAGACAGGACAGCTGTAAGAGCTCTAGAAGGGGGACCATCAGTTTTGGCTCTCAGGCGAACACATGTAATTAGGGCACCTCAACCTGTCCTAGTATAAAAGAAAAAGAAGAGGGCTGTATGGGAGGGCCAGAGACAGAGAGGGAGGCGCACAAAATTCTTTGTACAAGCTGAGAAGAGAGAAAAAAAGAGAGTACAGGAGGAATTTGGGGCGCTGATTTCTGGAGCTGAAGGAAGTAGTACAGCACGGCTGGACACAAGGAAGCAAGGACACACACCTGCTTAGCTCAGATTTTAGCTTAACCATTTCCTTCCTGCCGTCTGTATTTTCTCTCTGTGAACAAATGGATCTGGTTATTGATGTTAATTCTGATTTCTTTGAACTAAACATGAGCTAAATTCTTTAGCTAGGATTATTGATGGAACCAAAGTAGCAATGAAGATTTATTTGCTATTTTGATTGTTTGTGTAATTTTCATCATGTTTATTCAAGTGTGTTCATTGTCTAATTTTTATTAAATGACATGCCATCATTTAGTGGAAAATATAAACTAAAATTAATTCTGGAAAGGTTAGTTTTAGTTAGATCTATCTTAGATAATATAAGAGAGTAGGATAGGAATATATTATTGCCTTATACAACCCATTAAAATTGGTGTTTAACTTCAGGTTTTGTAAACTAAAATGTATAGGAATATGTTGGTTTTGGTTTAAGGAACTATAGGCATAGATCTGTCGGAAGAGGAATATGCAAAATTTTAGGTTGACTGGATGAACTTTGCTACAGCAATCCTATAGCAAAACGTGAGGGAAAACCAGTAATCCTAGCCCGTACCCACCATTGATTCACAGCTTGTGGCTTAGAACTTGTTAAGTCTTACCTCTTGTTTACATTTTAATCACACCCGTTTACCTTACTCATTCATTTTACTTAATCCACATCAATTTGGTACTTGTTTCACTCTCGATAATTTTAGCATAAGTGGTTTTTGTAATCAATTTCTTATTAATTCAATCCATATGGAGACGATACTCTTACTCACTACTGTATTACTTGTTCGATTACGTGCACTTGCGTAGGGTTATTTCCATGCATAGGATTTTTGGTGAACAAGTTTTTGGCATCGTTGCCGGGGATTGTGATTAGTGAAAATTATTATAGAAATCAGTTTTTGTTCATTTTAATTCAAGTTTGCCTCTGTTAGTCACGGTCACTCCTTTTGTTCTTCTGCGGGTTTAATTTTCTTGCATGAATAGACCAAGGGATACAGATTTGATTCCCTTAGACCCTGAGATTGAAAGAACTTTTAGAGCAAGAAGAAGAGAACAATAGGGATTTGCTGGAATAGAAGAAATGGCTGACGGAGCAGGTGGAAATAATCAAGGTAACCATGCTGTAGCAATAGCAGAGGACAGGGACAGGGCAATCAGAGATTATGCCATCCCCATGCTTGACGGGCTGCATCCATGCATTGTTAGGCCATAAATTCAGGCAACTAAATTCGAGCTGAAGCCGGTTATTTCAAATGCTCCAAACCGTGGGGCAATTCAGCGGGATGCTAACCGAAGACCCACATTTGCATCTTCGGCTTTTTATTGAAGTATGCGAATCTTTTAAGACCCCTGGTATGACAGAAGAGGCTCTTCACCTCAAGTTATTTCCTTATTCTCTGAGGGACAGAGCTAGAGCATGGCTGAATTCTCTGCCACCAGATTCGGTGGCTACAAGGACTGATTTGGCTGAGAAGTTTCTGGTGAAATATTTCCCTCCAAACAAAAATGCCAAACTCAGGAATGATATCACATCATTTCAGCAGTTGGAGGGGGAAGCTCTATGTGAATCATGGGAATGCTTTAAGGAGTTACTAAGGAAGTGTCCATACCATGGACTTCCTTATTGGATTCAAATGGAAACCTTTTATAATGGACTCAACGCTTCGACTAGAGCCATGGTGGATGCATCAGCAAATGGTGCCTCACTTGTGAAGTCGTACAATGAGGCTTATGAAATTTTGGAGAGAATGTCCAACAACAACTACCAGTGGCCCACTAAGAGAGTTTCCACAGGAAGACGTGTGGCTAGAATTCATGAATTAGACGTCGTGACTGCATTGACAGCTCAAGTTTTTTCACTGTCTAATATTTTGAAGTCTATGAACGTGACTGCAGGAGCTAATGCAGCAACCCCAGTTGAATTAGCTTGTGTTTATTGTGGAGACAGACATTCGTTCGAAAACTGCCCATCCAACCCCGCCTCAGTTTGTTATGTGAACAATTTCAACAGGAATAACAATCCGTATTCCAACACATACAACCCAGGGTGGAAGCAACATCCGAATTTTTCTTGGGCAAATCAAGGAGCTAATTCTTCAGCAGGGTCGAGTAAACCAGTGTATCCACCGGGTTTCCATCAGCAGCAACACCAAAGGCAGCCACCTCAAGAACAATCAACTCGGATGGAGGTGCTGCTTAAAGAGTATATTGTGAAGAATGATGCAATCATTCAGATTCAAGCAGCCCTCCTTCAAAGTCAAGCTGCATCATTGAGGACTTTAGAGAATCAAGTGGGGTAGCTGGCTAATGTTTTAAGCAGTAGGCCCTAAGGATCACTTCCTAGTGATACGGAGAACCCAAGAAGAGATGGCAAGGAGCAGTGTAAAGCTATCACACTTCGAAATGGCAGGGAGATTGAGCAACTAATTAGACAAAGTGTTGCAGCATCAGAGCACTCTTTAATCCAAAATCAGAAAGTCTAGCCACCAGAAGCAGAATTAGAACAGGATGCTGCAGACCAAAATGCTACAGCAAAGATGAAGCAAAACAGACCAGAGAGACCTCTACCTCCATTTCCACAAAGATTTCAGACTCAAAAGCAAGATAAGCAGTTCAGGAGATTCCTAGATGTGCTGAAGCAACTCCACATCAACATTCCGCTTGTGGAGGCGTTCGAGCAAATGCCTAATTACGTTAAGTTTATGAAGGATATTCTTTCGAAGAAACGTAGGCTAGGTGAGTTTGAGACGGTGGCACTAGCTAAAGAATGCAGTGCAATATTGAAGAATAAGCTGCCACCCAAGTTGAAAGTGTTGGAAACCGAATCGAATTCGGATGCGGAAGCTTGGCGGGGAGGCGGATCGTGTATAACAAAAATTTCATGAAACTTTTGAGATACTCTATAGATTATATTAATTTATGCACGAATAAATTAATCACATTAATTTATATGTCAAGAACTCAATTAGGAAAAATACCTTGAGGCCGACCCGAATGATAACTTGAGTTCTTTGACCTCGAACAATCCTTGCTCCTAGCTTTGTGTTTAGAAAACCAAAGTCTTCCACGTTGATTCCTTGATTCCACGTAGACGTGTGTGTGGGCACACGTGAGACAAAACAGGTTTCAAAAATACTCGAATTTCCACAAACACTAACGCATGCACGATGTGAAATTTTTGGGAGAAAAATTTTTCCTCTCTTTTTCCTCTTGAGAATTTCGGCCAGCCTTAACTCTTAGGGCAGAAAAATTGTTTTAAAAATTGTCTCCACAATTTTCTATCATTCTCATATTTAAAGAGTAGAAGTCAAACTTCAAAACAGAATCAAATCTCTATCTCGTATTTGAATTTGGAACAACAAAATCTCCTCTCCTTATCTCTTAAGTGGCCGGCCACCCCTTAGGGTTTTTACCCTGTGTGTGGCGCCAATTACAGACAGGGAAGGAAGAGAAATCATCATTTATCCTGTAGTCCAATTTTAATTCAAATTCGAATTTAAGTCAAACTTAAATTAATATGAATTCTAAATTGAACAACTTATCAAATAAGTTCAAAATGATAAATTTAAATTATGTTCACAATTCAAATTCAAATTTAAATAATCACATTATTTAAATAATAATTAATTCTCAATTAATCATTTTTTGAGTATTTAATTTTAGAATTCTGTAATTCTAAAATT